ATGACATCCTATTCTCCATACTGTCCACTTTGGTCCGCTGATCTATCAGACCAGTCCAGTATCTCTATTCTTTCATTCTGGAAAAATGGCTGCATGATCCTGACGATTTGAGGACGGGTGTTATCCTCCTGATCCACGAATTCATCTCTGATATCACCAGCATGTTATCCTTCTGATACACGGACTTATCTGTGATAGCGCCAGCAAAAAGGTGAGAAATGGATACCAGGATCTCATCCACGTAATATCTTGCTGTCAGGAATCCATCATCCACCACAGGGAGGTCTGTACGCCCCTGTATGCAGTTGCAACCCCAAACCATGATTGAGCCCCCCTAAAGACATCATGGTAGACAATGTTACGGGTCAAATATCACTCTCCCTGACATCTCCAGACCCTCACACGTCTATTACATGAAGATACACAGAAACTACTCTCATCTGTGAACAGTACTGCTGAAGGATCCAGGTGGCATGTTCATGGGCAAATACCAGCCAGGCTGTTTGGTACCTTGGGGTTAGTACAGGGGCTCCAACTGCTATCCTGGACTTGAGGCCAGCCTCATGGACTCTGTTCCTGACCATTTAACACGACACACGCACTCCTGTGTCTTGCTGAAGTCCGTTCCTGAGGCCCCTAGTGCTGCTGGTGTGGTTTCTAAGGTATAAATTCCGCAGATATCAGTCATCTACTGCGCTTATAGCGCTTCTGCGATTCTGGTCAGGCCCCCTGGTGCACTCTCCTGTGGCCTGGTATCTGCACTAAAGTCCACTGATCACAGATTGTGACACCTTCATGACCTCGGTCTGGGTGTGGCCCTCCTGTAACAGTGTGACAGCTCTGTAAACTTCAGTTTCAGTTAAGTGGTTTCTAATAGCTTGAACACTCTTTGCAAAAGTCAATACCAGTCAAAATATATAAATTTAGCATTATCTCAATATTCAATATCTTTCCTACTTAATCAGAATTGGCCTTTTGCTTTCCAGAATTTGGGTCATAAAAGCCTATTACATCAGGAATCATTGGTGCATAAATCATTGTAGTCCTCTGTAATTAGTGTAATCCTTTGCAAATAGTGTAATCCTCTACAATTAGTGTAATCCTCTACAATTAGTGTAATCCTTTACAATTAGTATAATCCTCTACAATTAGTGTAATTCTCTACAATATACGTGATAAATTTGAAAAAAAGATAACCTTTAATTTTATATAAATTTAAACAAATCTCATTATCCTTTAATTTATATAAAAATTTAAACAAATCTCACTATCCTTTAATTTATATATAAATTTAAACAAATCTCATTATCCTTTAATTTATATATAAATTTAAACAAATCTCATTATCCTTTAATTTATATATATAAATTTAAACAAATCTCATTATCCTTTAATTTATATATAAATTTTAAACAAATCTCATTATCCTTTAATTTATATATAAATTTAAACAAACATCATTATCCTTTAATTTATATATAAATTTTAAACAAATCCCATTATCCATTAATTTATATATAAATTTAAACAAATCTCATTATCCTTTAATTTATACATAAATTTAAACAAATCTCATTATCCTTTAATGTATACATAAATTTAAACAAATCTCATTATCTTTTAATTTATATATAAATTTTAAACAAATCCCATTATCCATTAATTTATATATAAATTTAAACAAATCTCATTATCCTTTAATTTATATTTATAAATTTAAACAAATCTCATTATCCTTTAATTTAT